ACATGATTGATATACCTCGTTGCAGTGAACGAACAAACTTTAAAAATAACTGAGAATTTGTCATGAAACATTTGGCAAGATAGGTAAATAAATGAATAGTACTGTACATCATTTTTACATGCCACCATCCTCATACTGTATAACAACGATTATTAAAAAATAACTGAGAATTTGTCATGAAACATTTGGAAAGATAGATAAACGAATAAATACATCATTTTTACATGCCACCATCCTCATATAACAACGAATATTTATTTAAACAACTGTGTGCACATTTAATTAATTTTTAGATACTTAGTAATTACTGTAGTAGGGGATTTTGGGTAAAGGGTTAGAATCGACCGGGATGGTGTGAAACCTGAGCAATTTCTCATCCATGAAATGTCCCAAATAGTCACCCATTTCTAGCCAAACTCCTCCTGCCATTAGCAGAGATGTGAAGGTGAATGCCTGGCGCCTTTTAACCAGACTGCTCATAAGCATAGAGGAAATTTCAGTCATTGATTTATCTGGATTTAGTACATAATTCGTATCATTTGCTACTTATACTTATTTGATAGTGTCATATAGTGAATAATGCGTTTACACACAAGCAATCCTGGATTTGATATAGATGATGCAAGCTGTCCATTAAAAAATAACGGTATTCTATTTCACAAAGCAAAAATTTAAATCTCACTTGTATTATTAAGAATGCATATCAGCAAAAATAAAAGCTTATTCATGTCAAAACGAAAGCTGTTTACAAAATTTATAAAGGTGGTGAACACTACTAAACAGTGCTCATTGAAAGACATGTATATTTCATATAATTTGTCTTTTCACTTATCTTTGGTGTATGATTTTAATACCGTAGATTTTCAACAGACAGCTGATACTTTGACATATCACCATGATCGTTGGTTTTAGTGATACCAAGGGCCAATTTTATAGTCTTTTGACGGGCTTTATATAGATCAACAATCTGGATACAGTTGGCGATATTTCGGAAATCAAAAGATCTCGCTATTTTGTTGCAATTCCACATCTCATCAATACATAAATTATTTTGGTCTGAGTATCAGAATAGACTTTAATACTAAATAAATAATAACCACACTGTTCGGTCTAGAGATATATATTTTCTTGTAGGTTTAATATTGCCACGCTGCACAAGCGGCGCACCCGGCAAGCACAGCGTGCTTTCTTTGGCAAGCCTATAATGAAATCTGATCCAACTTGCTTGAATTGTTACTCGACACCAGATTATAGAGTACAACGTCACGATATAAATATTAATTAAAGAGTTCTTTTTACGATTTCTTGTTGCAAATTTACAGTAAATTTCAACACCCAAAGTTGCAATTTATAACGCTACAAACACGCTCCTTTCCCACCCCTCTTACAGTTACAATTAAATTTAATTACCTCCCAGAATCTGGGAGGCACGTGACCAGCCGCAGCCAGGGTCTCTCCCAGATGACAGAAGGAGAGACCCTGGGAACGAGGTTGTCTAAGCGATTGGTAAGAGCTGAGATCAGTAGCATTCTTAGACGTGCCAAAATACCTCCAAAAAACATTGATTCGATTTTTCAAAGCTTTACTTAGCTTGCTCTTAAAAAAGATCCGAACAGGGTTATTCTTTCAGCGGACAAAGGGAATTGTGTTGTTGTTATGGACAAACATAATTATCGCGAGAAGGCTCTTTCACTGTTGAATAACAGAAATACGTATTCTATTCTCAAGTCTGATCCTACTGGAATGACTCAAAGAGGTTTAAACGCCAAGTTACTTCTTTTGAAGAAATCTAATATTATGAGCAAGGCTACATATGAAAAGTTATACAGCAGTGATGGACTATCTCCGCGTTTCTATGGTTTACCGAAAATCCATAAACCGGAAATTCCATTGAGTCCTATTGTGTCCTTTGTGAATTCTCCTACATATGGAGTTTCAGGTTTTTTGGCGAAAATTTTGTCCCCTGTGGTGGGGAATACCGAAAACACTGTCCAAAATTCCTGTCATTTTGCAGAACTTGTAAGAGGTAAAACTCTTAAAGCAGATCAAGTGTTGGTGTCATTTGATGTCGTTTCCTTGTTTACAAATATCCCAGTTGATCTTGCCATCAAGGTTGCGACAAAAAGACTAAGACAGGATGCCACTTTGATACAAAAAACATCCTTGCCTGTAGAAGATATTATTGATCTTTTTGTCTCAACACCTCATACTTTGTGTTTGAAGGTTGTTATTATCAACAGGTTTTTGAAACAGCGATGGGGTCACCAGTATCGGCAGTAATTGCTAATTTAGTAATGGAAGATGTCGAACAAAGAGCTTTAGCCTCTGTTCCGGTATCTCTATCGTTTTGGAAACGTTTCGTCGATGATATCATCTCTGCGGTTTCTAGAAATGAAATCGATATTCTGCTGCAACATTTAGATTTGAATGTGCACAGAACTGTCGAAGGGAAGTTAGAGACTGATGTTTATCGCAAACCCACACACACAGACAAATACTTGTCATACGGCTGTCATTACCCAGTAAGCCACAAAAGATCCGCAGCAAAAACTTTGCTTCAAAGAGCTGAATCCTTGCCGTCAAACAGTGATTCTCATGAAGCTAATGAACGTGAATAATACATGAAATATTTTATTGTTAAAACGTTATATAAAACACTGGCTACACTGCAGTTACTTAAAACGAAAGTTTTAATTACGTACTAGGCATGTCCAAAGGTCGCATCTTCACGTGATGGCGCACATGATTTTTTTGTTATTCGCCCGTCGATAACATATTGTTTCCCTCTCGTGCTGTTGTGAGGGAGACAGCCTAATTTCGTCACTCTCACGTGATATGGTCTCGTCCAATAAAACACTAGAAAAATGTGACTTTGACTATTGATATATAATAAATTCGTTTGTTTACCTATCTTGCCAAATGTTTCATGAGAAATTTTTAGTTATTTCTTAATATTCGTTGTTATACAGTACCAGGATGGTGGTATGTAAAAATGACTTGCTATTCATTTGTTTACCTATCTTACCAAATGTTTCATGACAAATTCTCAGTTATTTCTTAATATTCGTTGTTATACAGTATGAGGATGGTGTCATGTAAAAATGATGTAGGCTACTATTCATTTGTTTATCTGTCTTGCAAAATGTTTCATGACAAATTCTCAGTTAATTCTTAATATTCGTTGTTATACAGTACGAGAATGGTGGCATGTAAAAATGATGTACTATTCATTTGTTTATCTATCTTGTCAAATGTTTCATGGCAACTTCTCAGTTCTGATTTATTGATATTCGAAAATGAGGAAGGGTTTTACCTTAATACATGTTTATGTATATGCAGTGAGTAATCAAAGACAAAGTGTAACATGTTACATAAATTTTAAACGAGTATTCCCATCAGCAAACTTATCTATAACTTTTTCAACATCAGGAAAAAATTCAGTATGAATCGCCATCAGCGCCAAGCCATTTAAACGTTCTTCCACCATAATGCTCCTCTGATAGGTTTTAAGATTTCTTAGTACAGAAAATGATCTCTCGCACTCACAAGAAGTAATTGGGAGAGTTCCCACTCTCCTCCGCAGAGTCTGAATTATATAGGATTTGTAGGGATAGTAGAGGATATTTAGTGGTGCGCGACGGGGGGGTGAGATCGATGGTTGACAAAATGTAATCAAGACTCTGCCATATAATGCGCGGTTCTCGGGTATATTCTGCGGTTCTCGGGTATGACTGAAATAAGGCAAGAAAACGACTCAGAAAGCAGCGATGTGGACATTTTAGAAGTTTCCCTTCACAATTTAAGTATCGAGGGTAAGTTGAATGAATTTTATACAATATTTATGTCGCATTTGCCGGTATTGACGGCATGTTTTACATATCTCTTTAGCGACAGTATACGTCATAGTATCATGGCTTTGTTATTGTTTTTATCTCTCCCGAAATCAACAAATAAAGTTTAAAATACCATATTTTGTACATTGCCAGTAAGAATTATATAAAAGCAGCAAGGATTCACAAAGGATGGCTTAAATATACAACGGATTGATACAAAAGACGTTTTGTAGTCGGCCCATAAAATGGCCGCCAGTACTGTGGTGTGACACTTATCCTTTAATATTTAGATTGAAGATTCTAATCAGTGTATCCTATATTAAATACTTTGTATCTAGATGAAGATGGGGGATGTTATCCAATGGCAAGTACGCCCCAACAGGATGACAAGACATCAATGAGTGTGCTCTGAATTGTCCAAACGCCAAAGACAAGTGAACCTGGTTCAAAAAGGCTTCACATATCAACAGTTGACACAGGTTTGTTCTTAGTTTAATAATACTGAGTAGTCTCTCTCAATGTACATATTTTTTATAGCGATATATCTAATCTATAGAAATCGTCTTAGACTAAATTAAATTTTGGAATTCAAGGCAGCGTCTAGCACCAGTTCAAAGTACTAATAAATTCATGTAGTTTCTCTTTCACACAATAACAGTATGACGAGAATTGGAGAATATATAATTATAAAATTATGGTTATTCAATGTTGTGTCAGTACACCGTTGGCCAGAAATCTAGCTGGATTCTCAAAAGAATCAATTGTGATTGGCTAAGAACTACAGACAATCCTCAATGTTTATCAATGATTTTTTTAATGAGACACCTGACAAGGTTTTCTTCCCTGCCATTATAATAACATCATAATTGCATAATGAAACAATTATTGAATTTGGGTTTCGCATGACATCAAGACCGGTCAATGTTATCTGCCGAAGGTCTGGATAATTCTTGATGTCATGCTCATCCTCGTCCAATATGTAATTGTTGAATGTTTTTACAATTGTATCCCATTTTTGTTTCTGCATCTTCCTCTCTCTATTTTACAAATAGAGCCTGACACAAACCTTGCTATCCACTCAAGTATATTTTTGTATAAAGTATCAAATCAAAATGTCCAGGGAGAAATGTCAATTTCATATAAAAACAACAATCTAATTAAAGTTACAACTTCAGCTAAATATATAATATTAGTATCATATAATTAGGATTAACCAATATTAACATAGTATTATATAACTAGGATTAACCAATCACAAAGATACATTAAATATGGTCTGATATACTTGTGCTAGAAATAGCCAGTCAGAGCTACATTCAATATGTCAGTTTCGATAACTCCTGTTTTTTTTTTAATTTATGTAGATATACCTAATTAATCAACTCAAACAGATGCCGTTGTTTTGGAAGCCAGTTGGGCCCACAACAATGAACAATGATATCTTTTCTGGATACAAGAGCTTCAATAGCGTCAAATAGGCAATTCCAGCTTTTAGTTTATGCCTGTAGGGGATGATGGGAAGTAAGGTATCATAGTGCTGATTATGCTGAAAAATTTCAATAAAAACTACCGAAGCAACCAAAATATTTCAATATTTACAAGTATAAGCTATCACTCCATTATTTTTTCAGCATAATCAGCAATGCGATACCTTACTTCCCATCGTCCCCTGCACGCATAAACTAAAAGCTGGAATTGCCTATTGTCCTGGTCTAAACTTTCAATGTCCAAATTCTAGTTTACAGCACCGTCCATTGAAATTCTTTCTGGATTTGTAGGCAATGTTCCACTTTCAACAGTTTCTCGTCAACTTTTGGTAGCAACAGTAATAGCATCATTGGAACAATTCATATCATTGCCCCACATTAGTTGGTAGATCTGCTCGACGACACTCTCGTAGGTAGAATAAGCGTTTGTTTTCCCTCCTTGCAATTTCATCAATGTGGGTGTTCCATTTAAGGGTATTGTCAATCCAAAGACCTAGCAACTTGAATGACTTTACTCTTTCAATTGTATCATCGCCAATTTTAAGATGTGGTTGTTCCGGAATTGCAGCTTTAAAGCAGATCCACATGTCTTTCGTCTTTTTCGCGTTAAGTTTCATCTTGTTTCTATGTGCCCAGTCGTTTATTCCATCGAGCACCTCTTGCATGTTGCTAGTAGAACCGTATGGAATCATTTCATCTTGAGTGCAGTCATCTGCGTATTTGTGCGTATTGATGTCCAGATAATTGGGAATGCAGTCTTCGAGGTCATCCACATGAACATTAAACAATGTTGGTGATATAACAGATCCCTGGGGGACTCCAGAAGGGCAAGGCCTTATAGATGACAGAGCACCTTGTAATTTTACTTGCTGACTCCTCCCTTCTAGAAAGCTCCGTGCCCATAGCCAGAAGCTTTTCGACACGTTCATTTCGGCGAGCTTCCTTAAAAGCAATCCGTGGTCCACCAGATCAAATGCTTTGCAAAAGTCAATAAATAGGGCGTGGATACCCATTCTTCCATCACGTGAGTTTTCAGTCTTGTTGAACCAATTTTGGGTGATGCTCGCCAGTGCAGATACAGTTGATCTACCGTGTGTAAATGCATGTTGATTGTCCTTGATCTTAAGGTCCACTTTGTTTAATTTAAGTTGGATGCTTTCTAAGACTTTAGCCAATTGCGGTAATACTGAGATTTGGCGAAAATCATTATCCATGTCATTAGAAGGGTATATTTTAGGCACTGGGGTGACCAATGCTTGTTTATATAGGGTTGGGTATTTAGCCTGGGAGATGCTAGAGCATATGATGTTATGAATAACAGGGGCAAGTTCTTCATGGTAACGTTTCAGTAACCATGGAGGGATCTCATCTGAGCCAGTGGCCTTCCTGGGATTTGGATGTTTAAGGGTAGCCTTAATTTGTCCGATGGAAGGCAACGGGGGACTGGTATCATTCTTAAGTAGGTTTTCAATTTCCCCAACGTCCGGAATTTCAGTGGGGTTGGCATTCTGCCAAGGTTTGGTGAAGCTTTGTTGCAAGCGTTCCGCTAACTCTGCTGCATCAGCTGGTGGTTGAGAGTTACAGTCATTAGCGGCAGCAAGTTCAAATATGGTTTTGTACCACTTTGCCGGATTCGTTTCGCGTGTACCCTCTGCTTTTAGTTGATAGTAATTCTTTTTCGCATTTGATACAAGTGAGGTAACTTTGTCACATAATAGTTTGTACCTTCTTATATCTCCAGATTTAAACGCCTTTTGCCTAGCTTTTATTTCATGCTTTATAGAGTTTTTGGTGTTCTTAGGTCATACTTGTTCGTCACCATGTCTGGTATGTACTTCCTGCATGGGTGTGTTTCGTCATTAATGATTTTCTCGTACTCGCGAATTGAAAGTTTATCCCGACGTTGTTCTAGAGATTGAAGAGAATCAGAAGGTAGACCCAAAATTTTCAGGCTTCTATTCTGGTGGGGCCGCATATTCCAAAACTGGTCTTAATTTGGATTCATAGCACGTCAAACCCACATTAGTTGGTAGATCTGCTCAACGACACTCTCGTAGGTAGAATAAGCGTTTGTTTGCCCTCCTTGCAATTTCGTCAATGTGGGTGTTCCATTTAAGGGTATTGTCAATCCAAAGACCTAGCAACTTGAATGACTTTACTCTTTCAATTGTATCATCGCCAATTTTAAGATGTGGTGGTTCCGGAATTGCAGCTTTAAAGCAGATCCACATGTCTTTCGTCTTTTTCGCGTTATGTTTCATCTTGTTTCTATGTGCCCAGTCGTTTATTATCGAGCACCTCTTGCATGTTGGTAGTAGAACCGTATGGAATCACTTCATCTTGAGTGCAGTCATCTGCGTATTTGTGCGTATTGATGTCCAGATAATTGGGAATGCAGTCTTCGAGGTCATCCACATGAACATTAAACAATGTTGGTGATATAACAGATCCCTGGGAGACTCCGGAAGGGCAAGGCCTTATAGATGACAGAGCACCTTGTAATTTTAGTTGCTGACTCCTCCCTTCTAGAAAGCTCCGTGTCCATAGCCAGAAGCTTTTCGACACGTTCATTTTGGCGAGCTTCCTTAAAAGCAATCCGTGGTCCACCAGATCATTTGCTTTGCAAAAGTCAATAAATATTGCGTGGATACCCATTCTTCTTCCATCACGTGAGTTTTCAGTCTTGTTGAACCAATTTTGGGTGATGCTCGCCAGTGCAGATACAGTTGATCTACCGTGTGTAAATGCATGTTGATTGTCCTTGATCTTAAGGTCCCCTTTGTTTAATTTAAGTTGGATGCTTTCTAAGACTTTAGCCAATTGCGGTAATACTGAGATTTGGCGAAAATCATTATCCATGTCATTAGGAGGGTATATTTTAGGCACTGGGGTGACCAATGCGTGTTTACATAGGGTTGGGTATTTAGCCTGGGAGATGCTAGAGCATATGATGTTATGAATAACAGGGGCAAGTTCTTCATGGTAACGTTTCAGTAACCATGGAGGGATCTCATCTGAGCCAGTGGCCTTCCTGGGATTTAGATGTTTAAGGGTAGCCTTAATTTGTCCGATGGAAGGCAACGGGGGACTGGTATCACTCTTAAGTAGGAGTTCAATTTCCCCAACGTCCGGAATTTCAGTGGGGTTGGCATTCTGCCAAGGTTTGGTGAAGCTTTGTTGCAAGCGTTCCGCTAACTCTGCTGCATCAGCTGGTGGTTGAGAGTTACAGTCATTAGCGGCAGCAAGTTCAAATATGGTTTTGTACCACTTTGCCGGATTCGTTTCGCGTGTACCCTCTGCTTTTAGTTGATAGTAATTCTTTTTCGCATTTGATACAAGTGAGGTAACTTTGTCACATAATAGTTTGTACCTTGTTATATCTCCAGATTATATCTCTATGATCTTTTCCTGCGGGATTGGAAGTTCATCATCATAGTTAGCTAAGGACTCTTCCATGCACTCAATTGCTAGTTTTAATGGAATACTTGTGAATAAAGACTTAACATCAAAGGAGACCAGTTCATGAGTGGCACTGATCGTCTCCGCTTGAATTTTCGTTATGAAATCTGCGGAATTCACGAGGCGGTGTTTCGAGCGCTCTGTTAAAGGCTTCAAAATGCGTGCAAGATATTTTGAAAGTTCATATGTTGGTGATGAACAAAACGACACGATTGGTCTCATAGGTGTATTCTCCTTGTGAATTTTAGGCAAACCATACAGTTTTGGAGCTTGCGCAACCGAACAACGAAGTTTTGAGTACAAAGGTTTCTTTATAATGTTTGCTAAATGTAACGGCCAAAGTTTTTTATTTAGGTTACGTTGTATCCATTTTTTTGTGGTACTCAGATTTATCCATCACTACGGTTACACGACCTTTATCGGCTGGTGTAATAACAATCGAATCGTCCTTTCGCAACTTAGACAATGCTTCTCGTTCAGCCTTAGTTAAATTGCTTACTGGTTTTTGACTCGTTTGAAGAGTTGACGCAACCTTAGCCCGAACTGTTTCTTTCGCTTCCGCAGAAAGATTCTCTCGATATATAGCAGATTCTACACTCGCAGGGATCTTAGCCGTGGGTAAACGTTTTGGTGCTAACGACTGTTTCATACCATATGACAAAACGGTCTTTTCATGCTCATCTAAAACTCTGCTAGATATGTTCTTGATAAAATTACTAGGAGGTTTCTGTTTATTATTCACATGTCCTTTCTGTTCTAGCGCCAGTAATTTATCGTTCAAACGTGTATGCGTCTCTTCTTTCACTTTACGAGATTGTTCTGTTGCGATATTCTTAACTACATCTAGCAAATCTCCGGGTATACTGCTTTCTAGGTATCTTTCAATGTCACTGTACGCTTTTTCATGAATACTCTTTCGCTTGTGACAATCATTTATTCTTACGATAACAAGTTTTTTGCTAGTTTGTCTTACCGTTTTAATTCCCTTGGCAGTTTTTAATGGCGATTTAATTGCGAGACTGGCTGGAAGTAGATCATTTTCTTTGCATCTGTGATTAAACCATAACTGTTCTTTTATTTTTGCAATTTCTTTTACGCGTCGAATGTATTCTTTTGCAAGATTGGCTGTCTTTCGTCCATACTTTTGTAATTCACTGAAGGGCTTGAATCCGGGTTTTTCCATTGATTTAGTAGCCAGCGTGGCCGGCTCTTTTATAAGTAGAGCCTGCCCGAAAGCCCTAGTCAAATTGATGCCGCCCACTTAGTTAATATTCCATATTAACACCGCCCACTCGAAATAGTTTTGTATAAATTGATGACTTAAAATTTTAATTGTTGCATATTTACTATAGCCTGCGCTACATGCTTTCAATAAACTTTTTACAATAGATGGATAGCGATTCAACTGCCTGGAAATACAAGCAAAACGTCGGCATTTCGAGCGACGGCCCTTCGACTTTGTCTGGAAATTAGTAGTAGACGAAAACCGTTCAAAATTATATTATGCTTTGCACCTGTATGGCTGTACTACAGTTATAAATATTGCGGTATTAAATATAATGACTTAGGAAAAGTTTAAATAGACCCCTTCCCGTGTTATACACGTTGGCAGGCAAATGTATTTTAAAAGCTCCAAAGAGAGCTTCGTATTATTATGGTGTATTAAACACAATGGGGAATGTATTGTTTTATATAATCGTAATTTGCCAGCCAGCAAAATATAAACAAGGCAAGGACAGCCAAGGTTTTATACTCTATATACTATAGTGACCATACGGTAAAATCATACGACATATGCAGTAATAGCAGTATGGCTTGCCATATCCTGTTGAGATACCGGTATATGTTATACATTTTACACTTTGTCTTTTGAATTTTATATTTTAGCCGACAGGTTTACACTTTAATATAGCGATGCCGTTTGTTTTTACTGTAGTTATTTTTAAATATTTGAATAAATTAGCGTAACATGTCAATCAAACTGTCGTCAACGTAAATTCAGCCAATCACAATTCTCGGCGGCTGGCTGCCGAGAGTCATCAACAACCTCGTACCCAGGGCCTTTGCGCGGTTCAGAGGCTCTGGTACGGGAAGCAAAGGCCCTGGTAAACACTGGTCATGTGACTCCAAAAATATTGGACATTTCGTAATAATTTAGTTTTCAATCCGGGGGGAGCGGAGCCGATTGATTTTATCAAACATGGCAGCGCGAAGGCCACAGGGGGCAGAAAAGTACGATTGTGTTTATTTAAAATACCTTGTCATCAACCAATATATCGCATAGTTTCATCCAGGTTTCATCACGATGAAAATTATGTTGATTTTCGATAATATCATGCCTACTACTTCATGTAATTCAAACATTGTATTACAAGGACTGACCATAGTAGCGTGGGCTCATACTAGAACGATTGACTTTGCTTACACGTACAAATAATAGAAAGGGATGAAACCCCCGATCGTGAAATATTTCGAATGGATATAACTGGCGTGTTTCTGAACCAAAACCTTTTATTTTTTGTATACAGTTTAGATATGATACACTTAGCATACCTGTACAAGGAAATTTTAAGAAACGGTTATTAAACCGAAATTTTTGGGACTACAATTTTGGCTTATTTTGTTTCAACGTGCACCGCAACAGGTGGTGACGGAAGTGACGTAGTTACGCACTTAAAAGATATTGCGCATGACGAAAACTATTTTTCCAACTGATTCATATTATTAATCATATATATTAAATATATGACAAGCTCATACAGTATTTTTATGATTTATAGTATACAGTTTCAAAATAACAATATGCTCATATAAATTGTCACTCATTGAATTGTCACTGAATTGAATTCCCCTTGAAGACCTTGAATTGAATTGTCACTTATTGAAAGAATTGTCACTTATTTGATAATTCATACAAAGCCTACAAAATACAAGCCAAAATGCACCGGTATTTATACTACAAAAAGGTCTATATTAACCGAATTAACGAAACCGTTTCAGAGTTTATTTAAATTTACTGCCATTTTTTTCGCCCCATAAGTGCATGTATAGTTTATTTTTGAATTTAAATAGTCTATTGATATATCTTAAGTCTGCACACACGGCGAAGACGAGTTTAAATCGTGACCGGGTTTTGTAAAGACTGCCGTTTGGATTTATACAGTCATATTAAACAAAGTTCAAAGTCGTGGATATATTCACGTACAGTTGATCGATTCAAGAACAATTGTTTTAAAATTATTGAAAAGCTTTATACCGTCTAGATACAAGAGCGTTTGTTGCTTTTGAATCGGGTGATTCGCATTTCTTTTAGTTGACAAAACGTTCCATATTAATATTTGACTAATTTGAGTTTGAATTTCGCAATATTTTTTAAAATTTGTTATTGTCATTCAAATTATTAACCGTTAATTCGATTAAAAGGTCATGGAAGATGATAAGTCAATTTTCCTTCAATTTCCGTTCTACTTCCGGTTACAATGTCGAATTTACTTCCGTCACCAGTTGTTGCGGTGCACATTGAACGAAAGATTTTCGGCGTTTCATCCCTTTCTTATTTATGTACGGGTTACACCCTCGGCATCCTTTCGTAAGATGTTCGGAAATTGTCGTTACAAATGCAATATGTTTGAATTACATGAAGTAGAAGGCATGATATTATCGAAAAAATAAAAATCAGCTAATTTTGATCCTTTTATGACTATGTCTGGGGATTGTTGTAATATAAATATGGGATATTGGTTGATGACAAGGTATTTATAAAACACAATCGTACTTTTCTGCCCCCTGTGGAAGGCGCGATGTTTTCGAGTTTTCATATTATTATGATAAATAAAACTTTCCTAGTGAGATTTAAGAGTGGGTATATATTATCTATGCATTCTACGAGCTTTCTTTCAACAAATTGTGGAATAGCTAACGGTAATACTTACTTATCAAAGATCGAAGGACGAAGATCAAACTGAGAGAAAACTAGTCGAGTGATCTGTCTTTAAACTGTCTGTTTTGTAACCAATGCAGCTGCTTATGTGCGACGTTTTATAAAGAATTAAATAAACATTGTTGATTATAAGTAATTTTTATGTATTGACCAAAGAATATCACTTGGGATTTTATTGTACTTTTATGGAAGGATAAATCAGAGGGGACATCTATGGAAACGAAATTCTTCATGTGTATTAAACATGTAGTTATCAAAGCAGAATATTTTGAAACAATTAACTGGTCGAGTGACAGGTTGGTTTCCGTATGTATGTAGTTTAAAATACAGTTGTGAATGAAATTATACACAGTATCTTGAAAGCTTTGTGTGTGTGAGTTAATTTCATATTTATTTTTTGGGATGTATCATCTATATTTCTGTTTGTCTGTAAGGGGGGGGGGGATACCAATCCTGAATCATGAGAAATAATATACAGTGATCTTGAAACAACAAATTTACTATGAATCTTATATCAGTGATATGTGACTTAGGAGTCTTAAAGGCAAATAACAGTCTGTATACTGGGTGTGCGTTCACCTATTTGTTTACATTTGCAGTTACTGTACATCGGTTCATGATTTATGAAATTTGAACCAAAGCTGTAACATAATATTAGTCACGGCACAAGTCACTATGCAGAGTTTTATTTGTATTGAGGAGGTAGGGCTTCTAAGAGAGACACAGAGGCTTAATGAATATGGTTACACTGAATTTTATCAGTAAGTAAATTTCATTTTTTACATCCTGAAACCAAAAATCACCATATTATGCATGAATTGCATATCACTTTCACTTGTCACAGTGAGTGAACATACCAAATTCAAACAACATTCACACTGTTTCTAGATGAAATAATCAACCGATATTTTGGGCAAACAATATAATTCATCAGGGAAAAAAATAAATATTTAATTAATTTATATGTGTGCACATAGTTTCAAGATCAGCTAACGGGATTGAAACCAGCTTTCCCAGTTATGCTTGGAGCTGATGAGAACAGTTAGTTTTGAACACAAAATGGCATGGGACTTAATTCATCTAGGTGGCAATATATTGCCTTCTCACAAGCACAATTGATCAAGTCATACACATTCATTACTGCCAATCTCTATTATTTATGTCTCATTACAAATACAATATATTTTTGATCATTATCAGCAGTATCATTACAACTTGTGCATCACCAATATCATCACAACTTGTATTTCACTACCATCATCATTATTCTCACCATTCTAATTTTATTAGTCAATCAGAATGAATAAAAAATTTCCTATTTTACACCACTCATATATTACTTATAAATTGCCCAAGGTCATGGCCATTTCACATCACTCCAGGATCTGAATACCCTGCAATCATCTTTTCGATATAATACTAAAAGAGAAACAAACGACAAATGTCTTACTGGCACACTGGAATATCATAATTGCCATAAAACAACTGCCATTTGAAACCACATTCTGCTGTAACAGCACAACTGCTCAAGGTTGCAAGGTAAATAATAGGGATGTAGTAAGGCCAGTATTACTGGTAATTGTCTTTTTACATTTTGCTCACAACCAAAGTCCAATTATATGGAGCAAAAGTTAGAATATCCAGCCACTTTTTATTACTCACTTAACCTTACACTTGACAAGTAAAATTTTCTGGTGTTGGACAGAGAAAAATAACAAAGTATGCCAGGCTACTAACTCTTGACGAAGGGCCTTCGCTCGAAACGTCGAGTTTCTGCTTATTTTTAAGGTAGTAATATAACCATTCAGCACAGCATATTTGATTATCCCATATTCCCATTACTATAGTGTGACCACACAAGACTCTCCCTAATTGGATGGGTAAAATTGGGGGCTATGGAGATTTAATGGCAAGAAGTGGGGGAAACATTTTCTCCAGTAAAATTTATGGGGGCCATTGGAAATTTATGGGGGCCATTGGAATTTTATGGGGGCCATTGGAATCATCAACCAGAGTATTGAGGCGATAAAGAAAAGAATACCTGACTGTAAAATTAATGTAATCTAACTTTCTTGTCACACAAAGTTAGGTAACGTTGGCATTTTCACACTTTTCTATTATTATCGTACTATTCTGTTAAGTATTTATTGGATGAGTCAGAGACCAATGGATTGGTATGAGGGCAGTTAATTTGTAATTTTTGCATGTATTCATTTATTAACTTTTGACTACTGTAATGGTCA